TAATCGTAATAATTCAAATTTTGCGTTTGTACGGATTTTTTTACTAAATGTTCAAAATTTGTTATTGTTCATATTTTTTTTACTAAATATGCAAAAGTATTTGCGGTGCACCATGGTACATTTTCAAATTCGCGGTCAAAGAGACCATTCTAGCTCAAAGTTGCTGGCCATAATGAATTATTCGTTGGCTCGTTGTGTACTAAGAACACGTGAAAAACCATACGAGTGAGTATGAAATTTGGAGGGCCCATTTTTTCTTCTTATTTTTTTTCTCTCTCTTTCATTTTATGTTCAATCTAATAAAACAAATCTAACCTGATAAGGACAATGGTTAGCTGAAACTTGTTCAAAAATTTTTGAGTACATATGGCTTTGGTGGGTGGTGGCTATTAGGTTGAGATTTTATTCATTTTTTCTTTATTTTTTTTTATAATTATTTTTGGGTTGTGATTGTTTTTTCGACGGTGATGGTTTTTAAATGGGTGGTGCGGTCGAATTTGGTGAGTTAGGGTTGTAGATTTAGGTTTGTCTAGGTGGTAGATTTGGATTGGGGTGTGTTAGGGTTAGGTGGGGAATCTGGTCGTTTAGGGTTAAGGTTGGGTCTGATTCAGCTAAGAGGGTAGGGGTTCTAATGGTGGTTTTGGTGGATGGGTATGGGTTAGGGAGGCTAGAGGTGTGGGGTTGGTGGCTGGTGGTAGGAGGTGGTGGGCGTTTTTTTTATTATTTTTTTTAATGAATTTTCTGACGGAATTTTTTTTCGGAAATTTCCAGCGGAATTGTGTTCGTCTTAAAATTTCCGACAGACTTTTTTAGCCCGTAAAATCTCTTCTGATGCCTTAATTCCGTCGAAAAAGGTCAGTTTTTCTCAAAAAAATATTTTCGAAGACAGTTTCCGACGGAAACATATTTTCTGATGGATTTCGAGTGTTTTCAATGGAAAACTGTTTTCTAGTAGTGGTATAGCCACATGCACTCATCAACCGAGTCAATTAACTATAGATACATAGTTGATGATGTGAAGTTGTTGTGGATTAAAGTCTCCATACGTTGGATGTAAAATCCAAGAATAATCTTTAAATCTGTATATTTTGTTTTTAGGCTAGCTACAAGACATGAATAATCTTTATTAAAACAACATAGTAAAATAAGAAAAAATTGCCCTAAATAATCCGAACTTTGCCTCATTCGCCTAAAATAATTCCACCTGTCGATTATTTTTTAATAATCCGACCTTTATACCTCTCCACTTTAAATGGTTACAACCGGTCATCTAATTTGTTATTACCAGTTACTAGACTTTTGTTAGTCTAGGATTGGTAAAAAAAAAAAAAATTTAAAAAATAAAAAAATAAAAAACACAAAAAAATAAAAAATAAAAAAAACCAAACCCAGAATCCGACAGCCCCAGCCACCGACCCCTTACCCATTCCCGGTACCAGCTCCCTTCCTCTTCCCGAATACAACCACCAACTTCCTTCCCCTTCCCGATTCTGGCCACTCCCTCCTTCCCCTTCTTCGTTTTCGGCCGACCCGACCCATGCAGTAGCTTGCAAACCACCAAATAGCAGCGCTACTGCTACTCCTTCGCAAAACGCGCCACCGTACCCACAACATCATAACCACTCTCCCCGCAACAAACACCAAACGAACCCGTCATCACAATCAGTCGCCATCTACCATAACTGCGCCAAAAAACCGTCGACGGACATCACTAGAGCAGCCGCTTCGACGCCACAAATTAGCCACAAAATCGCAAATTAAACCCTTCACAACCGCCATTCCTAGGGGAGAGGGACAATTTTGGTGGGTGGGCTGGGTAAAGGAGGTGGTTTCGGTGGTGGTCTGCCGAAGAGAAGATGGTCGTTGGTTTATTTTTTTTTATTTTTCAATAATTTTTTTTTATTTTAGACTAATTGAGTGGTGACACGTGTGTAAATAGTTTAAAGTCACAAATGGTGACTTGTTCAGCCGGTTTCAAGTCACTAGGGACTATTGGGAGCGGATAAGGTATAAAAGTCGGATTATTAAAAAATAATTCAAATGTGGAATTATTTTGGACGAATGAGGCAAAGGTGAGATTATTTTGACCAATTTTTCCTTAAAATAATGAACGCACAATTGTAATAAGTAAATAAAAGTTAAGAGGTTGCATAGAGTAAATGGAAAACTTGTTACAATAGCGCCTTGATTTTAGTTAAGACCATTGCAACATGTGTTTGGGTTAGCTCACTCTCAATGAACCTCTCTTATTAGATATAATTAGTCGAACCAATAATTTATCAATCGTAAGACAATATATTAAAATAATTAAGTATATTTTTTTGTCAATTATGAATTAATTTTGGCTGTAGAAGAACCCATATCGTAAACCATCTCCTGTTTTTATAAGGATCTCTTGAGCGGATTTATCAAATTTGAACTATCAAGAACATGAATCATTTAATTTTTCGTTTCGCTATTATATTGAACTCATTACAAAATTATAGTACTTACTTAGCTTTACTCTCTTCGTATACATGGTACAAAAGGATGAATATAATCTAGCAATTTTGCTTAGCTTTGCTCAATGAAATTGTACTCATTAATGTCCAAAAGGCTCTTAGCCTAGCAATTGTAGCTTAATTACTCATAGCAACTAATACAATCACTAGTAGAAACATACAAATGGTCACCAATTTTTGAAAATTCATGCCTAAAATGTAAGCACAAACTTCAAAAATTTAAAGTCGGCTTAAAAGGGCACTAGTTTTAGCATCTCCTTTAGTTTATTCAAGTCTTTTACCGGGAAAAGCACAACCCCCTTGGCTTATACTTTCTCTGTTCCAATAATTTGTAACAAGGATGAAATTATATTTTATATGTTAAATATTTGTAATTGAATAAGAGTAAATATAAAAAGTTGATATTGCAAATGTATATTTTATGAGATAAATCTAACAAAATTTCACATGACTATATTTTACTTAACGTATAAATTATTTGATATGGTCACACACAAGAGTGATGAGTGATGAGTGATGAATACTGTAAAAGTTATATTGTTGCAATATTATTCAAAAAAAAAGTATGATAAAGATCAATCAGTCCTATAATTTGGGTCCAAGTGTGAAGTGTCCATGAAGTAATTTTTGAGCTGGTGGACTTTGAGCTGGATGTTGGGCTGCTAGATAATAATTGGGGTCTCAGCTTGTTAGGCTATTATTATTCAAATGGGCCCGTACGAGGAGGAAGAAAGCATACGTGTAACTGTAGCGGTGTAGGAATAGGAGAAAAGAAAAACATAATGACACACGCATGTGTGATTTTGTAATTTTGTTGTAATACGATTTATAGTCTGTATAATTGCCTTAAGAAAATTTAGAGTATTACATTTGAGTGTCGTACATTCATAAGTATTTTATTTTTATTTTAATAATTATTTTTTATTTAATAATCAAATAAAGAGAAAAGACTAACATTAAATTAGTTACGTGTAAGGTATAACAATCTCTCCCGTAATATAAAGTATTACTTCGTATTCAATCAACTTTGCTCCGCCCTCACTTCTATTATTTCTCCTCAACACTTTCATAATTCACTGGTATGTACGTATATGATTGATTTCAATTCGGGTCGTATATATTACTCTATATTTAATTTCTTACAAGTAGTATGCTATTTCATGCTTGATTTTGTGCTACAAATAGATGCAACTGTATATTATACATGCAGTAGATTAAATCCAATAGTATCCCATCATTTTAACTTTGCTTGGTCGTCTATACTGGTACAAACTGCATGCCTTGAAACACCACGAAATTGATCGAGTTATAAGCAAGGATAGATATAATTTAATATTTCTTCAGATTTAGGTCTTCCTCAAGTAATTGAAGATATTTTTTTTTTTTTGAATAGTAGTAATTGAAGATGGTTTAAATGATTTGTCTAGCTTTCACATATTTTTAGGTTTATTTTCAAGTCAAGTCAAAGTTGTAGCTAGGGTTATTAACTATATTAATTAGGGAAATTTAGGTTTTCTTTATTTCTCTCTTGAGATATAAATTAATAGCCGGAGCAATAAGCTTTTTTGTATCCTCAGTAAGATTCAAGAGAGTTATGGTTAATATATATTGCGTGATTATAAAAATCTCTATACATCGATCTTTGTTTACACAGGATAACCTAACTGTTGTTTGCATTGATCTTTTAAATTTTTTTCTACTCCGTACTTTTCATTCAATCTTGGATTATTCCTAGTTATTAAATTGTGAGTTATAAAGATCATATTAATTGATCGATGAGTTAAGTACATACACCACTTCATCAAGTGTTGCTGTGTAAAAACTAGTAAGGTGAATGCACCGTAGACGCCTAGATTATCTCGTTTCTAAGTACATACACTATAATCTAATTTTCTTTTTAGAGGTTGAAGCAAATGAACCAACTAGCCCCAACTGTTAGAACTTCAATTCTTAGACTAGCCAGATACAAGATCTGAATTGTAGGTGATATTAAGAAGTAAAAATTGGAAACATATATTTGTGCTAGAGATCTGGTTAATTAGGCTTTATTTATTTCACCTTATTTTTACTTATTATTTCAAAAAAAAATAAGTTCAGATCAGATCATCGTTTTATGTGCAGTTTTTTTATCGCTAAATATCTTTAATTTCGTAGTTATTTTTTTTTTTTTGAAAATTACATATTAGTAAAATACTTATTATTACGAATCTAACAAGATCCACTTGATATATTCTTTCCTTATAGATTATCGTATATTTATAGTCAAAGTTTAGTCAAATTAAACAATCAGATCAGGTTTTCCTCAAAAAAAAAAGAGAAAAAAAAAAAACAAAAAAAAAAAAAGACAATCAGATCTGACCAGACTATATCAAAAAAGATAAGCAAAAATAAGGTGAACCAAACAAGCCCTTAGTTGATCTTATCTTTCAAGAAATTATACCCTATAAGTATATTATATTGTTCTTGAAATCATGAGACTTTTATGCTGCAATTCTTAAGATGGTGCTTAACATGTATGCTTCCGGTGTACACTGTACACACCAACTTGAGATGAAAGCTGTTTATATACTTGTGAATGTTGTCCACTATTAAAAGATTTTGCGGATTTGATTTCAGGACTAAGGAAAACCTAGTACAAGATTATATTTTCCACCTTGTATTATTGTTTCATTTCAATATTTAAGAGCACATTTTACTAAAAAAAATTGTAGTAGTAATTTGACTATAACTAACATAATATTTTGTGAATAATAACTATGTAATCCATAATTGACTTATTTCTCTCAAATTATAAAGTGTATTTCTATATCATCAATATTATATTTTTTTTATTTATTTATCCAATTGTAGTTTCTTTTTTTTTTTTAAATATTTATAATTTGCATGGTAAATATTAAAAAACTATCTATGTCCATATTATAATGTCAAATAAATGATCCGATCTTATTATTTTATCATTAACATACTATGATATATATATATATATATATATATATATATATATATATATATATATATATATATATATATATATATATATATATATATATATATATTTATTATATTCCAAACAACCACTATGGTAAACTAATTTTTGTGGTGTAGGATACACTATCTCAAGCTGATAAGATAGAACAAGCAACAAATTACATAGTGGAGTTGAGAGAAAGAGTAGAGAACTTAAACAAGAGAAGAGATCAATTAATGACAAATAATTCTGGCTTAATAACCACCAGTATTGAACTGAAAGATTTGGGTAGTGTTATAGAGGTGCAAATTGTGGTGCAACGAGACTGCGAAATCAAGTTACATGAAGTGATTAGGGTTCTTGAGGAAGAAGGAGCTGAAGTTGTCAATGCTACTTTCTCAACTCATGGGAACTATGTCCTCCACACTCTCCATGCTAGGGTAACTTTATCTCTTTTTTTTTTTAATATTTTTTTATGCTAAATTGTTATTACGGGTGAGACAACAAAGTAAATAAATTGAGATCCACATGAATAATATTTGTAGGCACTGTAACTCTAAGAGTTTTTCTTATTGTATGTACAGGCTCAGAGTTCAAGGATTGGAGTAGAGACTTCTAGAGTGCAGGAAAGATTGCAACTACTGATTTGATCTTGTAAAACTTGAGTTTCATCTTGTACAATTTCCTTAAAAATAAGCGGATATTGCAAAGACCTTAGGTGATAGAGTATAAAACTTATGATTGAGGCCCAGGATGTTTTATACTCTATCACTCTATGTCACATGAAAGGCCGATCTTAAAAAATAATCCTTAGAACATCTATAATGGTTGTAAATAGGTTCTAGCTTGCAATTTTCAAATAGTTGGAGCTAGTATCTCATCACATAGCTCTACAAAGTTATGTAGTTTCACTATACGCGGAACTTGACCTGAAATAAAATATCTAGCTAACGTTTCTCTAAAAAAACAAAAAGCTAAGTAGGTTCACTTCACGCAAAGCATATGTGTTGTCCACTTTGAATGAATAAATTGTAGTATTGTATTTCAATTCATATATGTTGTTTCAATATTGACCTTTAAATTTTTTTATTTATTTTTTTTATTTTAAAAAAAAGCTTTTATTCTACATTAAAATAAAACTGGTGAGTTAAAAATGATAGCCATGACAATTTGTGAAGTGACTTACCTTTAGTTCGAAAATATTACTCCGTACAGGTACAGTACACTGTATTTTTATTTTTTTTAATCATTAAGAGAAATTACACATAGATCTTGGTAAGGACATAAGGGTTAATGGCCTAATGGGAAGAAGAGAATTCATACAACTTGTAAACTCAGATGGTGATGATGATAAGAGTTACTCGGTTACTCTTTTGCCTTATTATAAATTGATGTTTTTCTCCACTTTATTTAAAACTTCAATTCAGACAACTTTAGTCATAAGTATGTCAGTATGTATACAATATACTACCATTGGTAGTATGTTATATGGAGTAATGTCCTGTTCTCTTCACCTTAAAAAAATAATATTAAGTAAAAATAATTTCAGTTTAGTAAAAATAAGTTCAGTTCAGTAAAATTAATTTCAGTTCAGTAAAAATAATTTCAGTTCAGTAAAAATAAGTTCAGTTCAGTAAAATTCAGTTTTCGATCTTAAAGAAGAATTATAATAGAAAATCAGTAAAAAAAATTTAAGTTCAGTAAAAATAATTTCAGTTCACTAAAATTAAGTTCAGTTCAATAAAAATAAGTTCAGTTCAGTAAAAATAATTTCAGTTCAGCAAAATTAAGGTGAATCAAACAGAGCCTAAATTATGTGATAAATGTATACTCAATACTCTCTTCGTTTAATTCTGGATATTGCAATGTATTTATCTCCATATTTGCTAATGCACAATTTCAACTATTAATATGTTTTTAATAAATTAAAATTATAAAAGTTATTTTTTTTTTCAGATTAATAAAAGTTAATAGTTTAAAAATATGCATTTAAGACAAATTTGAAAAGAATTCACATGCTTATTTATTTTTACTTAAATACAAATCATTAAAAAAAATCAAGCATAATGTGTGAATAGAGCAATAGTTAAAGTGTTGCAACTATATTAAATAACAAAAGTGAGTGATTTCCATAAAAATATTCAAACATGCAAAAATTCTCAAATTACGTACAAAAAATTCCCCCCATACCACCCAACTCAGCATTTAAATTATTTTTTTCCTACAATTTTGCTAGTAAACCGCTAATTGAATTAGTGGTTTATACACATATAAACCGCTAATTCAATTAGTAATTTAGTTGCTAGGTGAAATAATCTCCACAATTGTATGCACAAATTCTTATAAAACTGCTAATTGAGGGCTTGTTTGGTGTCGTTTTTTGTTTTTAGTTTTCAGATTTTTTTAAAACCAAAAACAGAAAATAATAAAAATGTGTTTCTACTTTTTTGTTGTCAGTTTTTCACAATTATCATGATTTAAATAAAGTTGATTACTCAGTATTTTTTTATTCAATATATGTCATCCATCATATGATTTTGCCAATAGGAAACCACAATAATGTCAAACGAACCCTGAGTTAGCGGTTTTTTGTTGATTTTTTTTTTCTTTTTTTTTCAAAAAACACAACAAACTTGCTTAAGTGGACAATATGGATAAGGAACTTGATTTCCCTTTCCCAAGCAGTAGACATGCCTTCCTAGATGTTTTTAATCTAGTTGTAATATAAGCTCTTCTGTTCTTGTTAAAAAAAAGTGGACAGTATGGAAAGAATTTTTTTAAAAAGGTGTAGTTTGGAAATTTTAGCTTTTTTAAGCATTATCTATGAAAAACACCCAACACCGTTACAAAAGTAAGTAGTCTAGTCTTTCCTCAAAAAAAAAAAAAAAAAAAAAAAAATATGTAGTCTAATTTTTTTTTTTTAAAAAAAAACTTCCTCGTTTGCTATGCATGTTGGGCCGTTAACTCTTGGGGTTTCGGCCTAGCAGTTAATTGGGCTATGATCCAAATGGGTCGCAAGCAAATTTGTTACGAGTTTTGGGCTTAATTTAAAGGATTAGTAATATTACTGTATCCCATTCGACTGTACGAGTCCATACTCGGTAGAGTTTTGCACAATAGCATACACATAAGGATGGGTCGCACTTGCAAGTTGCAACATTACTAAACGAACTAACACACACAAAGGAGTGAGGACGAAAAGTGACAATAAAACAGAAACAATGACAAAGGAGAAAAAAAATGACGATAGCTGGTTTCCTATAGGCGCGGTACGGTGTAACGTACAATCGTTTTGTTAGAAAGAACATGATATATAAAAGTAATGAACTTATAATTATAGTGAAAATAACATACTATTAAAATGTAATGTACATATACCTAGAGTGAAAATAATATACGGAAATTTCACCAAATGTCACTGACAAATTTAAAATTCACCAAATGTCATCGTACTTTACAAAATTTACCAAATGCCACTCAGTTTTTAAATAATTCACCGAGTGCCATTAATGACTAACGAAGGCTTAATCATGACACATGGCAATCGATTATTGGTTTAAAAATATAAATAAAATAAAATTAAAAAAACTCTAAATCCTAACCCAACCCCACCACCGCAACCACCTGCCCAAGCCAACCGACGGCCCAAAGCCAACCGCCGGAACTCCTTGACCTCCTGTCGGAACCCTCTAACCTTCCGTCGGAACCCGCCGGAACCCATGACGTCCCGCTGGAACCCCTTAACCCCATCAAAACCGTCGACTCTTCTTAATCCCCGAAAAACCACCCCAACCACCGCAACCATCTCACGCAATGCCCAAAAACTCCAGCACCCACACACTGACCCACAAAACTCCGTTTACCCGACGACCTTGCACTAATGCCCACCCCAACTCCCGCAACCACCTCACGCACCAACACGACGCATCACATAGCCACCACAACCGACCATGGAAACCCAGAAATCCAAAATAAAACCCGATTGTGGAAACCCTTCACCCTGAAACGACCGAAATCAACCATGGAAATCTACAATGGTCGATTTCTATGGCCGATTTCATCGTTTCAAGGGTGGAGGATAGGAAGAGTGGTTTTGCGCGGTGGTTGGAAAACGATGGGTGTTTAAATCAATGTTCATGTTGGTGGCATTTAGGGTCGGGGCAGGTTGTGTGGGTGGTTTTGGGGGTCTGCGGTGGGTCAGGTGGAGTGCTTAAGGGCCGATCGACCGTTTTTTGGTGGTTAAGGGGGTGACCGGCTATTTTCCGGCAAGGGGAGGGGGCTAGGGTTTGACGTTGGTGGGAAGGTGGCTGGGAAAATTTGGGTTTTTTTTTGTTTTTTTATTTAATTTTTTTTATTTTCTTTTAATTTTTAAGAATTAAAATAAATAGACTAATCATATCATGACATGTGTCATTATTAGACCCTAAATCATATAACTAATATATAAAGCTAAACTTTTAGCCAGGTCACGAGACAGTGACACTTGGCATTCCAACTTTTTGCCAAGTGTCTTGCCACGTTGGATAGATTTAAATATATTTCATAAGATAAAAAATTCAGTTTAGATTTCTATTTGGATAGAATTTTAGAATAAAATTGTTAATTTAGAGTTTTATTTTCGATAAAATACTTCAATTCCTAACTAATTTGTATCAATATTATATTTTAAAATTTGACATATATCTTAAAATTCAATTTACAAAACTAATATATAAAGCTAAACTTTTAGCCAGGTCACGAGGCAGCGACACTTGGCATTCTAACTTTTCGCCAAGTGTCGCGCCACGTTGAATAAATTTAAATAGACTCCATAAGATAAAAAAAAAAGTTAGTTTGAAATTCTATTTTGAATCAAATTTGGATAAAATTTTAGGATAAAATTGTTAGTTTAGAGTTTTATTTTCGATAAAATAAAATTTGAGTGTCGCGCCACGTTGGATAGATTTAAATAGACTTCATAAACAACCCGGGCATCGCACGGGGCACAAAACTAGTGACTAACGGAGTTAACGACCGTTAGTCATAAATGGCACTCGGTGAATTATTTAAAAACTGAGTGGCATTTGGTGAATTCTGAAAAGTCCGATGGTATTTGGTTAAATTTGTCAGTGGCATTTGGTGAAATAGCCGAATAATATACTATCAAAATGTATGAACATATACTTTAGAGTGAAAAGAACATATTTGCACAAAAAAAAAAAAAAAAAAACCCTATGTTTATGTTCATTACTTATTGTGATATGTTTATTGATTTTTGTCTTTAAATTTTGGTGGTTATATATAGATAATGTTTATTGCATAATATTATCATATTCTTTATTAATATTACATATGTTTTGAAAAAAAAATGCAACTACAACTCATCACTCATCACGTCCGTACGTTGTCTATGATATTGGAAATTTGGAAGTACTTTTCCCAGCTCAATTTGTTGGAAACATTTATGCGTTAGTCAGGGTCTAGATGACACTAGGACTATTAGGTACTCATAGTGTTCCCACTATGGAATAAGTATTTAATTAAGTGGTATACATCCCTCATTCATTCCTTTTTAGTTGACCATGTAACATTTTTCATTTACCATTTTAGCTAACGCACAGCTTAAACGATTGATATATCTAAATATCAATAAGTAAAAATTATACTATCTCCATTACATATTATTTGCAACGATTTGATATAAAGCAGAGAGGAAAAATGTCTAATCGTTGCAAATAATATGTAACGGAGGTAGTACTTTCTAAATTCTAATAGAGAATAACTTGTTTAATGAACAATCTAATCTTCGATAAAATTGATAATATGAAATAGAGAAAAACTTGTTAGATGAATAATCTAATCTTCAATGATAAAATTGATAATTTATTGATAGAAATTATAGAGCCCAATTTTACAGAGTTATATCGGGCTATATTCATTATTACTTTTATTAGCATTTGTTGTCTCGCCTTTAAACTCGTCCATGTATTCCACAAATCCCCAACTTGCATTTGACTCTTTACAATGCAAGTCAATTCGCTAATGACACCATAACCCGGACTACTTGCTTGTACATCTTATAATGATTAAAAAGACATTATTACAACAATATTCTAATCTAGACTTTTAGTTTTAATTTGATCATAGCTAAAAAGTTGGCCTGTGTGCAAGAAGCGTGTGTTTTGAATCTAGAAGCTAAGTATTATTAACCTATTGAATAACAAGTATTACGAGTAACTTTAAGAATAAAGTTATGTATGTTACTGTTATAAATAAGAAATCTAGTTGGCAGTGGCGGACTTGGGCTTAGACCTGGTGGGTCAAGTGACTCACCAGGCCCAAAAAAAAAAATTTAAGTTATTTTTTGAAAAAAAAAAAAAACTGACATTTGCTTTCGAAATCCCGAGTTTCTGTCTTCTTCAAACAATCAAACCCTAGCCATCTTCTCTTCGCGACTTCGCCTCATCTCCATTCTTCAGTTCGCCTCTTCGCTTCGTCCCAGCCAGGCAGCCACCGTTCTCTTCGCCTGGTGGTCGGTCCGTCGGTGGTCGTGGACTCCGTCCTCTTCGTGGCTTCTCGCATAGTCGCATAATCGCATTTCGAAATCGCTACTCGCTAGTAAGTTGATTTCTCATTTTTATTTTTAATTTCTAATCTTCAAATTAATTCAGTCTAATTAGTTAATTTTATTAAACTTTGGTTGATTTGTTAATTTGTAGTTGGTTGTGCTGCTGAATTGGCGAATTGCTGTCTTGCTGAGTGCGTGCCTGAGACTTGAGTGCTGCCGACTGCCGTGTTGCGGTGCTGGCCGACTGGTCGTGGCCCTACTGCAGTGCTGCTCCGCCTGCTCAGCTGCTCGCCTCCGCCTGCTCCGCTGCTCGCCTCCGCCTAGCAAGGTAGGTAATCAACTAATCATCAATTGATTCTTTTTTTTTTTTTGTGAATTTTTGATCAAATTTGCATTACTTGTCTCTTGAACTTATGTGAAATCTGTTTTGTGTAATTGTGTTTTGTGTAATATGTTTATGTGATTATGTCATTATGTGAAATTTCTTGATTTAGTTGAATATTTATTCAAATAATTTTTTTGGGGAATATTGCTTGATTTAGTTCAATATTTATTCAATTTCAGAATGAAGAGAAAACGTACTCCAAATGAAATGCAAAACATTACTAGCTTCTTTGCTAAAAAGAATCCTACTCCAACTTCTCTTCCACATCCAACACAAAATGAACAAACTATAACTCCACCTCAAGAAAGTGAACAACTTTCATCTCCATCTCATTATTCAACTCAAAATTCCCCTCAAAATGAACAAGGCCAATGTTCTCCTAATGCCCCAATCTTTGGACAAAGATTAAGTGAACATGAATTTGCTAATCTTCCACAAGATCCAGGAAAGAGGAGAAAAATGAGTCAATTTCATAAAGATGATAGAGATTTAGTGAGAAGAATTTACATTCAAAGAAAGCCTTGTCAGCCCAAAGACTTTACATTTCCTCAAACTTCTATTTTTGGCAAAAATCGTCGCTTTTGTGCTAAGTGGTTTGATACTTGGACTTGGCTTGAGTATAGTGTGGAAAAGGATGCTGCCTATTGCTTCCCTTGTTATCTATTCAAGGATGAAAATGCCTTTGGAGGTGATGCTTTTGTTAGTGATGGTTTCAAATCATGGAATCGATCGGATTTAATAAGAAAACATGTCGGTAAACACTTGAGTGCACATAATAATGTTGTTTTAGCTATGGATTTGTTCAAGAAACAAAATTCAAGCATCACACAAGCCTTGACAAAACAAACCGCTGAGAGTACAAATGCATATAGGACGCGACTTGAAGCTTCAATTGAATCTATCCAATGGCTTTTACTCCAAGGGTTGCCTTTCCGTGGTCATGATGAAAAAGAAAGTTCCTTAAGAAGAGGTAACTTTCTTTCACTTTTATCCCTTATTTCCAAAGGTAATCCTGAATATTCTAAAGTTGTTTTAAAAAATGCTCCTAGTAATTGTCAACTTACTTCTCCTAAAGTCCAAAAAGATATCATAAATGCATGTGCAAAAGAGACCACTAAAGCAATGCTTGAAGATATTGATGGTGGTTTGTTTTCTATCCTTGCTGATGAGTCCGCTGATGTTTCTGACAAGGAACAATTGGCTCTTTGTTTGAGATATGTTAATAGAAAGGGAGAAGTGTGTGAGCGTTTACTTGGTATTGTGCATGTTGAATCCTTATTAATGGAGCATTCTTTGTCTTTCTCTCAAGTACGGGGTCAGGGTTATGATGGGGCAAGTAATATGCAAGGTTCTATTAATGGCCTTAGGACTCTTATAGAGAATGAGTGTAAAGAAGCTTATTTTGTCCACTGCTTTGCTCACCAACTTCAATTAACTCAAGTTGCACTTGCTAAAAAGAATTCAGATTGTGCTTGGTTATTTGTTGATGTACTTGCACCTCTCTTGAGTTTTGTGGGGGGTTCACCAAAAAGGAAAGAGTTTCTTCGTGAAAATCAAGCTCAAAGAGTGGTGGATGCATTGTCTCTAGGTGAACTTGAAACGGGTTCAGGTTTAAATCAAGAACGTGGATTAGGTAGACCTTGTGATACTCGTTGGGGATCTCACTTCAAGACAATATTGAATGTACTTGATTTATTCCCTGTAATCCTTGGTTCTCTTGAGGATATTGCAAAAGTATCTGATACAATAGATTCTAATAGAGCTCAAACACTTACAAATCTTCTGATGTCCTTTGATTTTGTGTTCGTGGCACACTTGATGGTTAGTATATTTGCGATAACAAATGCTTTGAATGTGGCCTTACAAAAGCACGAACAAGACATAGTGAATGCAATGGCCATGGTTAATGTAACCAAGACTAATTTGCAAAAACTGAGAGATGAAGGATAGGATTCTCATATGGAAAAGGTAATTTCTTTTATTGGTGACTATGACATTGCAGTTCCAGATATGGAGGCTAAATATGTTGTTCCCGGGAGGAGGTTGTTTAGAGGTAAATGCCCACAAGTGTCTAGTCTACATCATTTTCGAGTTGAAGTTTTTTTTGGTGTCATTGATCTTCAATTGCAAGAGCTTGAAAATCGATTTCCCGAAATAACTAAAGAACTACTTGTGTGTATGTCTTGTTTGAGTCCTGTGGATCGTTTTTCTAAGTTTGATAAGGAAAAATTGATTAAGCTTGCAAAATTCTATCCTAATGAATTTCCAAGTTCAGAATTGATAGTCTTTGGTCATACACTTGAGAGTTACATTTGTTCTGTTAGAGGAGATGAAAGGTTTTGGAATTTGAAGGGTCTTAGTGATCTTTCAATCAAATTGGTTGAAACGGGATTGTCTGAAACTCATGATAGGGTCTATTTACTTTTGAAGTTGGTGTTGCTTCTTCCTGTCGCAACGGCAAGTGTGGAAAGGGTATTTTCTGGCATGAAGCAAGTGAAAGACAAACTACGAAATAGCATGGGAGATCAAATGTTGAATGATTGTTTAATTACTTATTTGGAGAATGATTTGTTTTTGAATGTTAGCATGGAAGATATCATGAATCAATATCAAAACATGAAAACTCGTCGAGAACTATTGTAATAAGTTTGCATTACTATTTAGTTGTCTTTTGTAGTATTATATGAACATTTGGTTGTATTTTGTACTGTTTGAATATTTGGATGTATTTTTTAGTACTATTATTTGGTTGTTCGGTAATTTTTTTTTTTTACATACTTGATTATCGATTGTGACCCACCAGTCGGAAATTCCTGGATCCGCCACTGCTAGTTGGCTAGGCGTGTGTACATACGTCGTGACAAAAGTGCAATAATCATGCTAGTAGTACTAGTAAATACTTTCAATAGTATACTCAATTAGCATATATTGTACTAATTAAAAGGTAGCCCTTATAAACGTTTATAACTTGGAGTAATATCAGTGAGTGAGTCGATTTCCGGATATATGTCTATCATGAAAGGAGTAGTGAAAGCCCCGTCTTCAACAAAGCAGCTGGAAAAGAATGTTGTTGAAACAAATTGGCGAAATCAGTTCAACGGACTTTGCTCCGACCATGCCTTTAGCTAGCATTACTCCTCGACATTTCTAACACTCCGCGGTATGGTTGTGTTACGTTCATGCTTCCTTTTATGCTAGTTGCGCATGGAGTGTTGATGTGTAATATGAAGTCCGATAGAGATATGTAGATCGGTAGATGATAAGTGTAAGGGACTGTTCTGAATTACTGAAAATAACGTAATGGAACTGATTGGGGCTAACATGAACTGAACTGAACTGAATAGAGCTAAAATGAATTGTTTTTGAGAGAAGGAAATTTGAAACTGAACTGAACTGAATAGAGTTGAAATGCATTGTTTATGAGAGAAGGAAATTAAGAAATGAACTGAATTAATTGGAGTTGAGCTGAACTGAACTGGACTAAACTAAAATGAAATTAAGCTGAACAGAAAACCCTAAGTTTAGTTTTTTGGTTGACCTATTTAATAGACGGTAATCAATATAGATTATTGGGTTGTTATATGCTTAATTTTGTGATAAATTACCTAGAGCTGTCAATTCAGGTAAACGGGTCGGGTAAAAGTGGGTCGGGTCAATTCAGATTAATTCCATAACCTATGCGGGTCGGCTTTGGGTTGGGTCATGCTTGAGTCGGGTCATGTCGGTCATAATTCTTATCGGGTTTGAGTCGGGTTTAGGTCAGGTTAATAACATGTCGGGTTACATTCAGGTCGGGTGAACAATAGGTTGGGTTTAATTCGGGTTTTCATGGGTTAGGGTAATTCTCGGATTCGAGTCGGGTTCGGTTTAAGTCAATAATTTGCGGGTTAGAATCAGGTCGGGTCATTCTCGGTTTGAGTCGGTTCGGTTCAAGTCAATAATTTGCGGATGATAATCAGGTCGGGTCTTTTTAAGTCGGGTCATTCTCGAGTTCAAGACGGGTTCGGTTAAAGTCAATAGTTTGCGAGTTATAATCAAGTTGGGTCATTTTCAAGTCGGGTCATAATCGGATTCAAGTCGGGTTATGTTCAAGTCAAAAATTTGCAGGTTACAATCAGGTCGGGTCATTTCTAAGTCAAGTAATATTCGAGTTCAACTAATTATAAATAGATAATTATAATATATATGACAATATACTAGCTTAGGTAACTATAGTATATAATTTAAGAAGATAATTAACTCCTTTGACCATACAACAAATATATACTATATTTAACACTTAAATTTGACGATGATGCTCCTTTCTTTTGCTGGCCTGGACCGACTTGGTCTCCCTAGACAAAATGTTTTGACAGACAATAACAAGGTGGTCTAAATTGCATTTAAGGTGATTTGAAATCGGGTCAGGAACAATTTGGGTTGAATTTAGGTCGGGTCAATAACAAGTCATGTTAATTTTGAGCCAGGTTACTAACAGATCAATTTGAATTTTTGGTTTGGGTAAGTAATAGGTCTGGTAAAATTCGGGTCGGGTCAATAACAAGTTGGGTTGATTTCGGGTCGGGTTGAATTCAGGTCAGGTTAGTAACAAGTCGAGTTAAATTCGGGTTTTGACGGGTTAAAACGGGTTTGGGTCAATTTCGGTTCAAGTCGGGTTCAGTGCAAATTAATTAAATTGGCCATTGTAAACCGGTAAATCGGTGCAAGTTGTAAACTGGTAAATTGGACGTTTAAAAGCAAATTGGATGGTTCCACACACCCAATTGAACTCCCAAAGGATATTAGGCACCACGGTAAACATTTCGGCAATTTTTATTTTTGGGCGAAAAAAAGTCAAAAAAATTCCAAAATTGAAGGCTAATATCCACATTTTTTGAAAAATTTTGGAGGTTTAGTGGCCCAGTGTAGAAAAGTTTTGATATTTTAGGGGATACATCTCAGGGTTATATAATGTCATTTGGAACCATATATGATCATTACATGTTGTCATAAATGTTTGTAGTATGCTTGAGTTATGAAATCCGTGCAAGTTATAAACCGGTAAATTGGTCGTTTAAAGACAAATTGGATGGTTCCACCAACCCAATTGGACTCATAGAGGGCATTAGGGACCATGGTAAACATTTCGAAAATTTTTATTTCCGGACGAAAAAAAGTTAAAAAATTCCAAAGTTGAAGGCTAATATCCACGCTTTTTGAGAAATTTCGAAGGTTTTGGGGCCTGGTGTAGAAAAGTCTTGATATTTTAAGGGATACATTTCAGGGTCATATAATTTCGTTTGGAACCAGATATGATCATTATATGTTGTCATAAATGTTCGTAGTAGGCTTGATTTAATAAAATTCGTGCAAGTTGTAAATCGGTAAATTGGTCGTTTAAAGGCAGGGATGATTCCACCAACTCAATGGAAGACTAGAAGGGTATTAGGGTCCACGGTAAACACTTCGGAAAATTTTATTTTTGGGCGAAAAAAGTCAAAAAAAATTCCAAAATTAAAGGCCCAAAATTCTAAAATCCACGCTTTTGAGAAATTTTGGAGGTTTCGGGGTCCGGTGTCGAAAAGTTTTGAAATTCTAGGGGATACATCTCGGTGTCATATAATACCGTTTGGAACCATACACGATCATTATTTGTTGTCATAAATGTTCGTGGTGAGCTTGAGTTAATGAAATCGGTGCAAGTTGTAAACCGATAAATTGATCGTTTAAAGACAAATTGGATAGTTCCACCCACCCACTGGGACTCCCGGACGTTAGTAGGGACCACGTTTTTTGAGAAATTTTGGAGGTTTCGGGGCCCGGGTGTCGAAAAGTTTTGAAATTTTAGAGGATACATCTCGGGGTCATATAATGTCGTTTGGAACTATATATGATCATTATATGTTGTTATAAATGTTCGTGGTAGGCTAGAGTTAATGAAATCAGTGCAAGTTGTAAACTGGTGAATTGGTCGTTTAAAGGCGAATTGGATGGTTCCATCCACCCAATTGGACTCCCGGAGGATATTAGAGACCATGGTAAATATTTTGGCAGTTTTTATTTCCGGGCGAAAAAAAAGTTAAAAATTTCCAAAATTGAAGGCTAATATCTAAGCTTTTTTAGAAATTTCGAAGGTTTCAGGACTTAGTGTCGAAAAGAAATGAGTTTTTAGGGGATACATCTTGGAGTCATATAATGCCGTTTAGAATCATATATGATTATCATATGTTGTCATAAATGTTCGTGGTAGGGTTGAATACTTGAATTAATGAAATCGGTTGTAAACCGGTAAATTGGCCGTTTAAAGACAAATTTGATGGTTCCACCCAACCTTGGACTCCTGAAGGGTATTAGGGACCATGGTAAAAATTTCGGTAATTATTATTTACAGGAGAAGAAAAGTAAAAAAATTTCAAAATTGAAAGCTAAAATTCCACGCTTTTTGAAATTTTTTGGAGATTTCGAGGACCAGTGTTGAAAAGTATTGAAAATTTAAGGGATACTCTTGAGGTCATATAATGCCATTTGGAATCATATATAATCATTATACGTTTCCATAAATGTTAGTGGGTTGATTAAGTTAATGAAATTAGTGGAAGTTGTAAACCGGTAAATTGGTCGGCTAAAGGCCAAATGGATGGTATCACCCATCCAACTGGACTCCCGGAGGGTATTAGAGACCATGATAAACATTTCGGCAATTTTAATTTCTGGGCGAAAAAAGTCAAAAAATTCAAAAATTGAACGCTAATATCCACCTTTTTGAGAAATTTTGGAGTATTCGGGGCCTGGTTTCTAAAAGTCTCGAAATTCTAGGGAATACATCTTGGGGTCATGTAATATCGTTAGGCACCATACGTGATCATTATTGTTGTCATAAATGTTCGTGGTAGGCTTGAGTTTGTTAATGAAATTGGTGCAAGTTGTAAACCGGTAAATTGGTCGTTTAAAGACGAATTGGATGGTTACACCCACCCAATTGGACTCCCGGAGGGTATTAGGGACCATGGTAAAAATTCGGCAATTTTTATTTCCAGGTGAAAAAAGTCAAAAAATTCCAAAATTGAAGTCTAATATCCATGCTTTTTGAAAAATTTCGAAGGTTTCAGGGCCCGGTGTCGAAAAGAGATGAGATTTTAGGGGATATATCTCAGGTTCATATAATGTCGTTTGAAACCATAAATGACCATTATAGGCTGTCATAAATGTTCGTGGTAAACTGAAACAGTGCAGGTTGTAAACCGGTAAATTGGTCGTTTAAAGGCTAATTGGATGATTTCACCCAACCAATTGGACACCCTGAGGGTATTAAGGAACATGGTAAAAATTTCGGCAATTTTTATTTCCGGGTGAAAAAAAGTCAAAAAATTCCAAAATTGAAGGCTAATCCACGTCGTTTGAGAAATTTTTGAGGTTTCGGGACCCGGTGTCGAAAAGGTTTGAGATTTTAGGGGATACATCTCGGGGTCATATAATATTGTTTTAAACCATAAATGATCATTATATGTTGTCATAAATATTCGTGGTAGGCTTGATTTAATAAAATTGGTGTAAGTTGTAAACCGGTAAATTGGTCGTTTAAAGGCAAATTGGATGGTTCCACCCAGCCAATTAGACACCCGGAGGGTTTTAGGGACCATGATAAACATTTCGGCCATTTTTATTTCCGGGAGAAAAGAAGTCAAAAAATTCCAAAATTAAAGGTTAATATCCACGTTTTTTGAGAAATTTTTGGA